TATATTTATATATAACTGGCTAGGTTCTGAAAACTGTTATCCAAAAATGAAATTGAAAGATTTTTAAGTGAGGAAGAAGTAGGGTTATAGTAAGGATATAGGAAGATTACTTTGGCACATTTTCTTGAACAAATTGTATGGAGGAGACTGCTTCATTCTATAACAGTTAACATACAAAATGAGATGGCAGGGCTACTTCTTGGAGATAATGTAAAATAAGAAAATTTGCACAGTTTGATTTGGTTATAAAGGATTAAAAGAAGTGTAGTTAAGTAGACTGAGGGAAAAATTGAACTTTATTAAATTTGAATTGGAAAGAAATTCAAGAGTATTCAGCCAACATAATTAGGAAGCTTTGACCATGGAAGGAAATATTAGGAGGTAAGAGCAGGAGTGTGTGTCATCCCCATTGACTTCTAGCAAAATACTTGCATCAGATTCCTAAGGGAAGCACAAAGATCATTTTGGGTCAAGATGGGAAGCCATCACAAAAGGTCTCAGAAAAAGAATGTTTAAAATCAAGATTATAGAACCTAAGGATATAGGTAACTCAGATGAATGTTTTTGATTGACTCATTCATCCATTCACTCACTCACTCATTCAACAAATATGTTTATCAAGGCCAGACAGTATGCCAGAAGTTGTTCCAGGTGCTGGTGATATACAGTGAAAAAAAAAAAAAAAAAGACAAAAATTGGAAAAGTCAAAACACACTGATGCAAAAGGACAAAATTAATACTCAATTTAAATGTGAGACCACCTGGTAAGGTTTGAAAAGAAGTATATGAAGCAGAGGATGAGAAGAAATAAAACACTTTCCTCTTATATACCTTATTCCCTATCTAGCTTAGTGTCTGTGGCTAAGTACAAGTTAATTTCTTTTTGTCCTTGCTGGTAAGCACAGTTGTATCAACACTAAAACGAATAATACATTCAGAGCTCCATACTGAACAAAGAAGAAAGGAAAAAATCACAAGACTCCTGACATAATACAGTGATTCTGAATTAAACCACAAACCACAAGCACCAGATCGACTCCAAATTATTAAGTAACAAAGGACCATCCATTCCGAATCTGAAGCCACATCTCTCTTCTTCATTTATTTTAAGCCTGTGGATATGGAACCTAAAGTTTCAAAATTATTCTCTTCCAAGATGGCAAATCAGCCAAGTTACCATGTTGTCAGTTTCTCTCTAAGAAAAATAATTTAAACAATTATTTGAGGAGAAAAGCATAGAATTGCTTCATGTTCTGCACTTGACCTCATCTTGACAATACATGGAAATGGATGTTTTCTCCAAAGGACTCTAGTAGGCTGAAGGGGAGGAAAGGATCCTGAAGATTTTTGCCAGCATGACCTAGGGGGAAATTCCTTCTCAACCACAGACTTCATTTTCATTTCACTGGGTATTCTGTAGATGAGTGGGAATCTCTGAAGTTAATCCCATTGGCTAATTTTCCACCAGTTCCCTGGTTCTTCCATTGCCCTACCAATCATCCTTTGCTTTTAAATGTCTCCTGGACAGATCTATCTCCCCAGTGCAAACAAATTCACCCTCTGACTGTTGTTGTTTACTCCAACTTCCACAGCATCTCAGGTTGTCACATATGACTTTGAATTTTACTCTAATTAGCCACATACTTGTTTTTCTTCTTGGGTAGTCTGACCATCAGAATCATTTGATTCTCTTCTTGTAACCCAATCATTCAGCATATGACTTAAAGCTACCCAGAGCACATGGCTGTCTTGTTTCTTGAATATATCAATAAAAGAATGAATAGGTGAGTGTGACTGAGCAAATACTAAGAAACAAAACCAAAACACACTTTAAAAAGAAGAAAAAGAAGAAGAAAAAGAAGAAGAAGAAATTCACACATTTTGAGAAGGGGTGGGAGGAAGATTTGGCTAAAAAAGGCCAGAAATAGAGATTTTTTTTTCCAAAAATGAGATAATACGTAGAGATCACTGTCAGAATAGGATAAAAACTGGAACTCAGGACTTAAACAGCAGGAACAGCACATTTGGGAAACAAACAGCACCTGCACTGATGTTTCAGAAAGGAGGAGTAACTGCCAGAGGTGGCTGTTTCTAACGTGGGGAAAGAATGGCCCAAACTGAATAGGAGCCGGCTCTGTTCTGATTATGGGTCAGCAGGTAGAACTGAAAAATCCCTTTTCTTACCAGTGGCTACAGCTCATAAGCATACATGACCACTAGGGGTGCTTGTACTGTTCTTGTTTTCAGTGGAACAGCTGGGTAGCTTTTAGTTACATAAGAAGCTGCAGAGCCCCACCCCTTCCCTGCACATGTCCTGAGCTGTCCTCTCTGTGAGCACACTAAGGGGACATTTCCAGATTGCCTCGGTGACTCAGGCCTTGACCAATTTCTCAGCCCCTCCTTGTTCCCTGATACACATGTTATGGGATTACAGAGCTTTGCACGGTTGTTGAATCAGATTTAGAACAAAGAATGACAAATGGTTACCTGGGGGGTAGCACTGATTATATATTAATTTTTTTTTGCAGTAGTATTGGGTTATAGCAATCTGTCAGTTTCAGGTGTGCATCATTATAAATCAACATCAGCATATACATTAAGTTCCTTCTAGTAATCATTAATGTAATCTTATAATCTAAAATAAAAGTGTATTTTTGTTTTATTTAGGTCATTTGTTTGTTTGGGATTTCTGTACATTGCCTATGAGGGAACTTACACACACAGTGTTTATCTTTCTCTGTCTTACTTACTTCACTAGGCCTCATTCCCTCTAGGTCCATTCACATCATTGCAAATGGCAGTATTTCATCTTTTGACAGCTGAGCTTATTCCATTGTACATATTCACCACTGCTTCTTTAAGCACTGAGTATATTTTTACTGGCATTGTAAGGAATAAGTGTGTGGCACACAGCTTGTCCTTTTGTGTTGGCTAGAATTTTCTGCTGGCAATAAGCAGCATTTTAGTAAGGTCATGTGCAATTTTTTTACCACCCATGCCTACATTTATTGTGAAGTATTGAACTTGTCATTAGTCATGTTTTGGATTAGTATTCTAAGTGGAATTGTGAAGTGATGACAATTTTGTATATCACACTCATAGACTTCCGAAACATGGGCTCAAAATACCATTCTCCAGCCTCAGCTCAGTTTACTGTGACTGCAAGGAACGAAGTTAAGTCAGTGCGAGTTATAGCAGGACTGTCCACCACGATGGTATGAACCTGCTGCGGTGGTTTTGTGGCGATTTTGCCAATGGCATAAAGCAGACCTGCTTTCTCTTGCTCCTAATCTTTTCTGGACACATGTGCTTAAGGGACAGTTGTAACTTTTATCTTTGCTAAAATCTGTCATCTCTTTTTTTAATTATTTTGCCTTGAAAAATTAAATTGAATTATCTGCCAGCTAAATGAAAAGTTGATTGCTAACTGACTAGGTCTAGAATTATGAATGATCTGCGTAATCACATCTGTAGGTTACGTCTCAGAATGCTACAATTTTACAGAAAGCATAAATTGCAGGACCAAAACTTAGTAAGTATTATGCAGGCTCTTAAAGTGATAAGGGCTGTGCTTGCCATTGTAACCCAAAATGGGTTTTGCTTATTTTTAAAAACTAAAACAGTAACTGAAAGCAAATTCATTTCAATTGATGAAATTACAGCAGTCATGAATCACAAACCCTTAGGCCTGCTAAAATGTCAGTGTGCTGAAACTTTCAATTATTACTAATGTCAAAGTGTTTAATGTATTAATGAGAATCTAAAAAAAATAAAACACATTCTGCCATTACCTAGTGTCATGCTGACATCATACATAAATCAGACAGAATCTGGGATGTTTATCCAGCATTCATCAATAATCAGTAGTCAGTAAATGGGAGCTCCACTCTATTAGGCAACTCTTTTTGATGTAAGTCAACCAACTCACTTCTAGTCTTGGGGCTTCCTTCATTTTTCTTTTCATGTAAACCAGAAGGCAGTTGATAGACCCAATCTTATCAACAGATTCTGCTCTCTGAGGCCTTTAAGAGATAAACTGCACAATCGTGGAGAAGGAAGAGCATAGGATGGAATCTGTTAGAACTAGACTTGTTACTGACACCTTAACACTCTGCAGTATCCTTATATATTGTAATCTTGGCTTATAAATTGATTGCTTCTATTCAGATTAGCTACTTTATGGAAATAACTCAAGTGCCTGACAGATAAATGGACTCTGTTATGGAATACTACTTGGCCATGAAAAGGAAACATTTTCATTTGTTGAACATTTAAGAGATTATGCTAAATGAAATAAACCAGAGGAAGGAAGCTTCATTGCTCTCCACATGTGATTTTTACAGAGCAGAACTTTTTACAATAGAAATCTTTTCTGGAATCCCAATATGTAAAACAGAAGTGGAAATATTCTGATGTAAATATGTAAAATCCAGAGTCCCACTCCTTCTTGGCTTATCCCCTGCATTTTAAATGGCTATTAAAGTTCTTTCCAGTTCAGAAATTCCAGTGCTTTACATTAATTGCAGCTGAAGTTATATTAGCACTAACAAACCAATTTATATGAAGAAGACAACTCATCTGGGTTAGTGGCAGAGTTAATGGCACCTGCTCTGAGTGGATGAGTTCTCTTCCAAACAACCTGCAAACACATTGTCATATATCTTGTGGAGAGGAATCTGGAGGGTAGTGAAGAACATGGAATTGGTGGGGGACTCACACTTTCTGACTGCACCCTTGAACAAGTATATATCTCACTACCACTCCATTTCTAATGCATACAAAGGGCTTGACAGTGGCATGGGCCTATCTGAGGCTACTGTGAAAGTTTTATGGGCTAAGAAGTCTGGACTGTTTTTAGGCGTACAGTTGGCATGGATACTTGCTCAAAAGTTGAGAGCTCATCTAAACACAGAAATGTTTGTGGAATGAATGAATGTATGGCCCAAACTAATAAACCAATTTTCTGTTTCTGACATCCAGAATAGCTTTGTTTCACCTAATTCCATTTTAAGTCTTAAAATTTAGTTTTGCTAAAGCAAGTTATTTGCTAAGATAAATAATAATTTTGATTATGACAGTTCTATATCTTCTAAAGGAATAAGATGCTAACATAACATGAACCATTTTCATTTACAGAACAGTCACTGTTCATATCTATAGGACTTATGAATTTAATATTTTTGTCCATGAACATAAGACACTATTGAGAAAGGGGGTTTTTACAGCAGAGGTTCACAAACTACCAGAAACACTGAAGTGCTTTACCAACATAGATTGCTGCCCCTCCTCCCCTCGGAGGCTCATACATCTGAGGTGAGACTTGAAAATTTTCAGTTCTGACAGGCATCAAATGAGGCTGATGTTAGTGGTATGAGGATATGCTTCAAACATCATTTCTTAATATGGTGTATATATACAATGGAATACTACTGAGCAATCAAAACAGATATAATCTCATGCCATTTGCAGCAACAGGAATGGAGTTGGAAGGGATCACGCTCAGTGAAATAAGCCAGAAGGGGAAAAAATATTGGATGCCATCACTTATAGAAGGAATATAGGGAAACAAAATAAAGGGTTAAAAAAAAAGACAACTTGTAGGCAACTACTGATCTGAGACAAAGCAGGAGAGAGGGTGGGAAAGGGATCAGTAGGGGATGGGAAGAGCACAGTGGACTATGGTGATGGTCACAGGTTATGTGGTGGTGGAACTGCACTTGAAGAGAGAAATTAAATAGTGTACAAAAATGAACAACAGTGTAAGAAAAATTTTAAATTAATAAAAGAGAAAAATAGGCCCTCCCTGGTGGTGCAGCGGGTTAAAGCACAGCACTAAGAAGCTAAAGCCACTTCGGCATGAGTTCGATTCCTGCCTGCCCCGGAGGTGACCACATGGCATGGCAGACCTCTCCTGATCTGCCCACTGCTCCCCTCAGCAGTGTACTTTGTCGATCTGCCTGTTCTGCCCCACACTCTGTCTCTGGGGAAGCCTCTCACCGCCCCTGAGCCTCTGGCCTGTACCCCAGTTCTGTATGCACAAATAAATAAATCTCTTAAAAAAGAGAGAGAGAGAGAGATAAACATTTCTTTAAAGAAGACAGTAGTTCCACAACTGAACTCAGTCATTTCGCTAGTCATTGAGCCAGAGTTAAATACAGAATGGCACTGAAAATGCATGTAGTTGAATACAGGAGGGACCTACGGCTTTAGATTTGACTACAGCAATAGTTCCTTTCCTGATTCTTTTGAGGTATATTTTAAAATAGCCTGATGTGTTTGTTCCTGACTTTTGTAGGGTGTCCCTACCTCCCTCCCTTCCTTCCCTCTTTCTCTCTAATCTTATTTCTAATGGGATGAGCTTTTACGCTTCCAACAGAAGTGAACATTTTGTACACTACTAGTTGTATTATGAAGCTTATTTGTAAACTTTTCCTGTGCCATTAGCTTTTATACTGAAACATGTTTTCTTGCTTTTGTTGTAGTACGGAAGAGAAGAAAGTGACTGGACAATCGTAGTGTCCTGATTGGAAAATGCAGGATCCATCTGTGTGCTATTTGGCGGACTGTTGCATTTGAATGATGATAGATTTCTTTGGCTACATGTTTGTAGATATGCTCACTGTAGTTTGTATCATCAATGTGTTACCAGGGTGATGGCTTCCTTGTGCCAGAGAAAATCAATTGCAATCATCAAATGGTGTTTTGTCAACATGGTAGCAGAAGCTTACCTTCTCTTAGAAAGATGATAATGTAAGCCCCGCATAGAATTTTCCTCAATAATCTAGTGCCTCCCTCTGTACTTCACTCAGATGCATAAATGTTTGTTCATTCTTTAGGGTGAATGATGTTCTGCTCCTAAACCAAATGGGTTTTTCTGTGTTTGAAAAATGATCACAGTAAATTTCATAGGCTTCTTCCTCGGAAAGCATTTTGTTCTTTTTGAGTCAAGATTTTGAAGCAGTGGATCCCTCCCATCATTCTTTCTTAGAAATCCCCCCCACCCAGATCCGCCTTCCAGTAAGCCTCTCCATTCTTCCTGGTGTTCACTCCATGTGTGTTCACCTCTGTGACAAGAAGACGCACACACATCAACGCCACTGCCCTTTCCACACTGAGTCCTCTGCAATCTGTCAGGTTCCATGAGACCAAGGGGCCCTGTGCCCTAAAGAGTGTTGTGTCCCTAATGCCTGACACATAATAGTACTCCATAATTAGTGAATAAGTGAGCGCTTAGCTTCTAGACAAGTGTACCTTCAGTTTCTACACTAGGAAATCTTTTTATTTGAATTTGTGACGTGGTGTCTATTTTCTTTTTATTGCCCTTATTTTCCATGGATGGCTATGCCATTAGGGATACACAGAGGCACCCTCTGTTGGAGGAATTACGTCTCATTTGAAACTTGTCTTGGAATGAAATCATGGTATCTGACTCGCCAAATGGAACAACAAGCAATGAGTTTTAAATGCAGAATACATCGCTTTGTTTAGTTCTTTGGTAGAAAGCAAAGAAGGGAGGGTGTCCTGGTTTTTGCACTCTAGTTTTGGAGGTGCTCTTTTCTATAGAATGAGGATTGGCAGAAAAAGGGTATGGGAGAGCTGTTAATTACAGATGCTACTTTCCTTGTCTAGAAGCTGTGACTCAAAATTGGGTCCTATTTTTATCTAAAGGAAATTCAAATCTTGACAGAAAATGTTTGCCCTTAGAAGGTCAACTCTCAGACATTATATTTTGATTTCCCTCAATCCTACTGACTTTCATCTTGCTGATCATATTTCATTCTCAGAGTAAGGGGAAAACATTCAAAAGTTTGATGCATTGGTTAAAAAAATCCTTGAGGCATTTAGCAGCGTATAGCAAATTGGCTTTGATTCTTTTCCAAGACATTTAGCCACCGGGTCTTTTTAGACAGGAATGGTAAAATGAAAATTAGGGAAGTAAAAGATGAAAAGAAATGGTAAAAATACCTTTTAAGGGACTTTTAATTGGTGATTTGAAGTCTTGGGAGAATGTTCCTTTCTGGCCTTAGGTAATTTGTCCTCTACACAAGTTCACCAAGCACTATTCAAAGGAGAGGCTTTTGCCTTGCCTAAATCTTGTGACCTCGTTTTTTAACATAGTCTAGAGAAGACTTCCAGGTAATTTTAGCCTGTCAAGGAGCACATAATAACTAGATTCACATTTCTATGAGAAATGGAAACCATTTGTTTGCCATAAATACATTTTATACTCTACATCTCTAAATTTAGTATGGCGAGATATGTTCATCGTAAAAGTCATAGAACAATATGTCTAGACATTGTCTTTGTATGATTTCTTTCCTAAACCCCTTAAGGGCATTTTCATCTCCTTCTCTTAGACCTCATGAAGACTAAGGATACACTTTAAAAAAACTGGAGGTCTCCTAGTGCAGAGAACACAATCTGTCATTCTTATTTAAGTAATAAGACAGGAAATTGACCTTGACCTAACTTATTAAATAGATTTAAAAGGAACATCTGCACATCTTTTTTCCTTATGCACTGTTTGTTTAATTGCAGTGGATTAATACAGCAAGTAGCACATTATAACTAGGCAATTATCCATTCTTCAAGACTTAGTTATCGTAACACTAATTGATCATTTAAGGCGTAAGATAGTCTAGCATTAGGAACATGTGAGGCTAATCTGCTCAAAAAGATCAACAAATTAATATTGTTGCTGATATTTGCATAATTGGCTGCAATTATTTAATGTTTAATTGGGTTGATCAAATGAGATTCAGCAATTCACATGTGCATGAATATAAACAGAACTGGTGGCACTTAAAATGATAATGATTAACTTATTTTGCATGTTCTCTTCCTACTACTTTTTTTTTCAGTTTTTACATCTCAGAGTTTGTCAGCTTTTACCAAAGGATATCAGTGGAAACCAAGATTTTGTAATGATGTGTTCAGACATAGAAAAACCTGTCCATTTCCTAAAGATATTTGCTTTTAGAATTTTGTTCTTGTTAGTCATTTATTAATGATTCTACTCATGACACACCAGAAAAAGCATGATTTCAGGGCTGTGTCCCAAGGTCTCTCACAGAACACAGCTGGCAGCAATGTTATATAATAAACGGATGGTTCTTGCATTAGCCATTGCTTTCAAAAGTACAAAGGAAAAGGTAAAAGGAAAAGAGAAATGACTGAGAAATTTTGTCACAAGGAATCATATTTTTTTTCCTAATCTGGTAAACACCATCTATTCTTTTTTTCAAAAGCCCCTGCAAGTCAGGTCCCCACACCTTTGGGGAAACCTACTGTATACATGCTGGGGTAAACTGCATCTTACCACTCTGTTGCTTCATATAATTGTTCTTATAACCTTTATAACCTGTCCTGCTTTACTCAAGTCAGAGCACTCCTGGACATTTGAGGGCAACTGATGGGCATATCTAGTCATCAGAATTGGAAGCACTTTTAGTCAAGCAGCATTTTCAGTGTGTGTTAGGGAGGTTATTGATGTGAAAGAAGCTGGAAAAATACGCCTATTTATTTTCTTCATTCCATTCACTAAAAAAAAAAAAAAACAACCTTCTAAAAACACAAAGATAGGCCCTCCCTGGTGGCACAATGGGTTAGGATGCAGCACTTCAAGCTAGTATAGCTGCTTCGGTGCAAGTTTGATCCTCAGTCCCGGAGGTGACCCACATGGTACAGCAGACCTCTCCTGTCTCGCCTGCTGCTCCCCTCAGCAGTGTACTTCGTTGATCTGTCTGTTCTGCTACCAACTCTGTCTCTAGTGAATCCTCCCCTGCCCCCATACCTCTGGCATGCATCCCAGGTCTGTATGCATAAATAAATAAATCTTTTTTAAAAATACAAAGGTAGGCCCTCCCTGGTGGCGCAGCGGGTTAAAGCACAGCACTAAGAAGTCAAAGCCACTTCCGCATGAGTTCGATCCCCGCCTGTCCCGGAGGTGACCACATGGCGTGGCAGACCTCTCCTGGCCCGCCCGCTGCTCCCCTCAGCAGTGTACTTCGTTGATCTGCCTGTTCTGCTCCCCACTCTGTCTCTGGTGAATCCTCTCACCCTCCGCATCTCTGGCCTGTACCCCAGTTCTGTATGAATAAATAAATCTTTAAAAAAAAAAATACAAAGTTAGAAGGGAGTGACTGATTTTTCATTTTCAGTCGCTGTGTTTTTCCTTTAGAAGTTCCCTTTTAAACTCATATATTCAGTTTACTCATATATCAAAGAAAAACTGTCTCTTACACAGAAAACAATATTCTTTCATTTTTAATGAGTAATAGTTTCTAACATTTCTAAAGCAAAAACTATTCTGCACTAAAGCAAGGAGCTTAGATGAGTTAGAGAAATCATAAGAGCCCCTTATTTCTTGCCCTGCTTTTAAGCATGATGAAAGAATTCTTCCTTACAAGGTTAATTTCTTCTGTGGATATGTGAAAGCTTAAGTTATAAATTGTAATGGTGCCAGGTAATTTTAGTGAACACTTTATAACACCTGTCACTTTGTTTTGTCATAAGAAGAATTTGTTCAGCTGTGCCTCTGAAAGTGAGCTTTACCTATTCATTGACAGAGATCACAGAGATTATAGTTAATCTGACAAATTAATTTGATAAATGTTGATTAAATAGCCACAAATGTGCATCTGAAATGAGCAACAATGGACTTAGAACATATACATATATATATGTTACACACTACTTGAATAAATCTTTAGGTATATAAGCAATATTTAGCAGAGATAATTAGGAGACAAAGATCAAAGCTAATTTCTTAACAAAAAAAAATCACACTGAACATTTTCATTCATTTTTTTAAAGGAATGTGTCCTTTTTCCATAATGTCCTTTCCTGTAATATGAAGCTGCTTGGCAGGACTAATACTTAGGGGTTACTCAATCACTGCCTACATGGTTTATTTCTTAGCTACCAATCTAAAATATTTGTTAATCATATCTTTTGGAGCAATACTGAATGTTCATAATCCAATTAACAAAAGAACACCTCAAAAGACAGCATCTTTGCTGAACTCAAAGTCAAATACATTGAATTGAAAAAACATTCCTAAAGTAAGATTTTTTTGGAAAGTGTCTGTTATGAACCAAACTATTCAGAGTGTTAGCTTAAAGATGAAGGATCCAGCAGGAAAAAAATAACAGGTGCAGGACTAACTTTAACATAACAATAATTTTTCACAGTTTGAGGGTATATAAAAAAAAGACCATTAAAAATATTACAAAAAGATTCAATCTTGCCATTTGCCAAAAAGCCTTTTTAAAGATACAGAGGTAGAAGGAAATGACTTATTTTTCATCTTCATCATAAATGAGTTATCAGTATTAATTTGGGGAAGTTGATAGTGAAACATCAACAGAAAATAGTCATTTTAGGGGTAAATCCTTCCCCAGGAGAAAGTATATGTAAACATAATTGCTTTAATGAATAACAGAGGCATGAAATTCAATTTTAGAAAATGAAGTGTTCTTTAAGATCTGCTGGATAAAAGTAGTGAAGATTAAAGTAATCTTATTGTTTGAAGTATGTATTTTTCACACTAGGTATACCCCATTAATAAAGCCTAGAATTTAATTTGCATAATGCTTAGCTTATGTACTCTGCTGTTGGAATGCTATTAATGGACCATGAGCTGTGGTAGGAAATTAGGTTTAAAAAAATAAGTTTTACTGACAGATTTCTCTGCATATTACTTTCATAAGGGCTGGGTCTCCCATGATCATTATTAAATTAGGGAGAAAAATTCAAGAAGATGTTAGAGGAAAACAACTGGACAGTAGAGAAAACAAGGAATGAGAGAGGGGAAAGAAATCAGACCTGCTTCTATTATATATTGTCTGAGGAACTGCTTCCTTATTGTATCAGCCATAAAGAGCTTCAACTTTCAAAATAGGTGTCAAATACAGAGTGCCAAGCAGGAAATGAGTAAGTACAGTGGCAAGTTTATAAAAATCTTAGAATTAGGCTATGACCTTGAAGTAATGAGGTCAGATTAGATTGAAACTACTTTAAATTACCACCATTTGTGATGAAAGTTTATTTCATAATTGCCTAGTGGATAAGATCTGTTATATTATTTTCTCAACCCCTTTATTCAAAGATTTGTGAAACTTCGGGAGACTGAACAAAAGAGTGACAAGAAGTAGACTGGTTAGTCTTCCATTAGAAATATGGTTTGCTACCATATCACCCTCCTTGATGAAGCTGAACTTATTTGGGGAATGAGTTGAATATTATCAGCTAGTTTTTAACTAACGTGCAACAACATACTGCAATCCTCCAGCTAATTTCACAATAATTTTTAAAGTCATTCTCTGGTAAAAAAGAGTGCAAATTCTGACTCAATTCCAACTTCATTGATAAGTTTCTGAAGAATACAATCATTCTCTCAGGAAACTGGCTATGAGAAGATGTTGACTCAAGTCTTCAGTTTCACCTGTCTAGTGTACCTAAGATTTCTGCAAATGTTTCCTAGTGACTGAGGAGAATGAATGATCCCTAGAAACCTAACCCACTGTTCTAAAGAATTTATGCTTACAAAATATGATGACTGAGAGAAGATAAGTAGTTATAGAACCAGAGCTGGTAGATAAAAACATGAGAATCTGAATTGTATTGTCTTGCATCTAACTTTAATTCTTGTAAGAAAACTAATGCCAGTCTCATGTGTCTAGTTGTATAAGAAAAATCAAGTTGAAGGAGACACTATAAATAATACTTGGCTTTCATGAAAAAGTGTTCAAAGGTTATTGAAAAGGATTTAAGCTCGCTGAAAGTGTAATGCTGGAAAATGTAGAGGGCAAAGGAAACTACCTCATTTTGGGAAGGTTTGTAGAAGCACAATTAACATTCTAAAAGGCTTTGTCATAGATGAAACATCTAGTGTGAAAGAACTCTCTGTATAAGTCTAAAGGACCTGGAATGACTGTATTTTGCTCACAATAGACACATACATTATTGTTCACAGGTTCCTCATCAAATCTTTGCAATGCTCTGTTCCTGTCATCAATAAAACAACTTAAAGGAATTCTGTTTCTGTAGTCTCTTGAATCAACATTAGATGTATGAAATGTTGAATGACCATTTATATGATGTTCCAAGTTTTCTGTCATGGGATGTAAATGCATTGGGGTCTTTCTTAAACCAAAATAACATTGAGGGAGTTAAAAGAATTGAGCACACCACATAGAACTGCAACCATTCAACTAGAGAGTCTCGTGTTTTGAAACATTTGGATAAGATAAGAATATAATCTTCCCCCAAGGATGGGTGTTTCCTTAGTAAAATTTATCCTGGTCATTTGAATATTGACCTGAAGAGAAATAGGATACTTCCTGTTCACTGACACTGTGAATCTACCCCACTTCTGAAACAGCCCCCATATGTTAAGTAGTTTTAGAACTAAGTAAAGCAAAAGGCATTTTATCAAAACCTAGAGAACACTAGCGAGATGCATTCTTTGAGTCAAACCAAGTGTTGTGTAGATTTTTTTTCCTATACAGGCCTTTGAGAAAGTGAAGTTACATGTAGGCTCTCTGAAGGTCATGTAGTAACATTCATTTTCCTACGTATTGTCCCAGTGATGGTGAGTAGAGAAAAACTTCTAGGTTTTTCAATGAGTGAATGAATATACACTGAACTTAAAATTAGTCTAAGTAGTACTTAGTAATTCTTTCTGGACCCTGTCAACCTGTGAAAAGACTGAACTTTATCAAGATTTTTAGCCAGAAGATTCAGTTTAGAAGATCCAGGGAAGGTTATTAGTCAAGTTCTCTTACAGTGTCAATACTCAAATCCCATCAGAATAAGAAAGATGGGGCTGCTCTGCCTGAACAGGGTAACACACCCACCAAGCTCAGGTGACTTATCAGCTGAGACAGCCTCTCTTTCAGGACAGAAAGTGTCACGTCTACCTCAGTTTACTAACAGAACCAAAACAGGGTGGAGGGTGGATTTTCAACATTTATAATTATTTTTCTGCTAAGCTGATTCAATTTGAGCCAGCATCCTTTTTACAATCAAGAATCAGATTCCATTTTTATGATTTCTAGCTGCTATCCACCATAACTGATCTTTAGATGAAATGTTACTGCAGCTTATTTATAATAGTGATGACTTGTGGGATTGTATTTCTGTAGTCAAAAACCCACAGCTGAGATGCAGGCTTTGATGGGTTAGTGGTCTCTGGTCCCTACTGCCCCAATGCAACAGGGGAAGTGTGGATTCAAACTCATGGTCACTGTCTTCGAGAGACAGTGATCAATAGGATTTTTGAGAAAACCTATGAGATTCTCAATGAAAAAAATTTTACAGTTGCAAGATTCAGGCTGACTGTATGTAAGAGACCTATTTAAAAACTACATTAGTTAAGAGAGTAAGCAGCATTTGTTTTAAAGATAGCTGCACTGGGGCCCTCCCTGGTGGTACAGCGGGTTAAAGCACAGCACTAAGAAGCTTAAGCCGCTTCTCCATGAGTTCGATTCCTGCCTGCCCTGGAGGAGATCCACATGGCGTGGCAGACCTCTCCTGACGCGCCTGCTGCTCCCCTCAGCAGTG